GGCTTGCTGGGACCATGTGTTGCTGGGGCAGGTGCTCTGCCTGCAGTCGGCCGTGAATGGCTCAAGTGCCCACTGCCTGCTGCTGCCACTGGTGGCAGGGACTGTGCACAATGGGACAGTGCATGTGAGAGGGGCATGTTTGTAGGGGGGCCTCACATACCCCCCCATCCACACCCTCCTACAAACCCATAGTCCCCCACAAACATCATACCCACACACACACCTGCACACTTCTCCACAAACCCCACAACCATGCCCCCCTTCATACCCTCCAAACCCAACAGATCCACACACACACCTACAGCCTCCCCCACACCCCACATCTCCCACACCCCACAAACCCCACATAGATATCTGCACACACATACACTCTCCCCCCAACACACAGGCCCCTATAACCCCCATACCTACCCCCCATGCCCCCTCACAGTTCTTCCCTCCTGCCTCCTACTATATACAAGAGTAAGACTTCATTCTGAGCTATTATGTAATCACTTCTATATACACTATGAAAACACTTTTAAATAAAATTAAAATATTATAGCAGATATTTGATTTTTAGTATATAATTTGTTGTTTTTTTTCTGATTCCAAGATGGCAAACCCTCCTCCCAAAATGAGTACTTCCAAGAGCAAGGGGAGAGATTTCCAGCAGCAAAGGTCCGGGGCTAGGAGCTGGACTTCTGATCCTAAGATGGCAACCAGGGGGCAGGGCACCTGTCAAGGGGTGGGGCTACGCTTGCCACCCTCAACAGCTCACCAAAACTCATTAAGCAGCCCTCCAGCCAAAATAATTGACCACCTCTGGCTTAGACTAACTTGCAAAGATTGATTCAATTCAGCCTTTGGCTTTTGGTTCTGTCTGTACTTAAATTAAAAGTCTAAATTGCTTAAGAAAACCAAATATCACACTAGAGGTAACTTTGGATTAATAGCGTTTAATATTTTTCTGGTGGCTGGTAGGAGTAACAGCGTGGTGATTGGCCCAAAAAAGGGATAGTCCAGAGGGCACAGATAAAAAAAGCATCCTTGGAAGAGCATATATGTCTCGAAATAATAACTACTAGTATAGACATTTTTTTAAACTTTCCATAAGAAAAAAAGATATCTCTCTATTCCCTGCAACTGTAGAAATATCTGGTCTATCTGCATTTAACACCATAGGGAGAATATGCTATGGAACTGTTTGGTTTCTGAAATGTGTTGCATTGATCTGAAAGTCCTAGCGGTGTTGCAGCTATTCTTTAAAACCTGCTGTTTGGATTCAGTTCAAAAACTAGTGTTTGGTATATTTTCTGTTTCCAATTACCTATGTTGTTGTCATAGATGATAATGGCAAGAACAGAGTTTGCATGTTTTCAGTACTTTGCCCTCTGGCAAGGCAAAAAAAGCTGACTGGATTTCTTCTATTATCTTCCAAATCAACACACATTTCTGTGGCAGTCAGTTTTGGTGGTGAGAAACATTCTGAAGCAGATATTTAGTTGGAGTAAATTATTCACATTTCCACTGAATGGATCCTGAGTTGGTATAAATTGTCATAGTTGTATGTAGGGCAACTCCATTAACTTAAATGTATCAATGACTGAGTCAGCTGAAAGTCCGCCCTTCTGTCTCTGAGAGTAGAGCTGGTTTACCTGGTCGGAGCCAAGGCCCCCCAGCCCCTGAAAAAACCAAAGCCTCATCCCTAAAACCACACCAAACTCTAATTGTACCTCTCTGTGCTTAGGATCAGTCTCTGTAGACTCTCCTCTACTAACCTGGCTTGTTTTAAAATGTTTTAGTAAACCCTAGCATTTCATTTACGTATTTCTTGAAGAAGTGAGACTATGGCAGAAATTATTGGTAATACCATTACCAACTCTTTCTCTCTAAATATCAGATAGCCACAGTGAAATGTGTTAGTCTTTTCTATTATTCTGTAGCCCTGCTTACATTGTCTCCAGAGGGTGAATTCAATTGCTCTAAGAGATGATGAGACATGACTGAGTGGAGTCAGTAAGTACAATTAGAGCACACTGCAGCTGACTCAGTTAACTGAGTCTGCAGGAGTATGTTTATTACCGTGCTCCAGCTAACTCCATTGTCATGTGTATCAGTGTCTCAGTGCTGAAAATGGTGGCATGGACACTTTAACTAAAGCTCATTCGATGAGCTTTAGCTAAAGCACCCCACCTCCTTTTTCACTAAGGGCACATTGATACATGTGACACTCCAGGCACTTTAATTAGCGTGGTTCTTAGAGCCGCTCTAATTAAAGCATGCCCCTCTCTCCTGACTCCTGGTGCGTGTGTATAAATTCCCATAGTTTCTACCCTCAGGGACTACATATGTATAGATTGGCCTTGCAGTTGCACTCCACGAGTAGGGTGCAAAGATCTGGATCAGGGCTCAGGTATTGGTTCAGTAATTCAGTAGGCATATTTAATGTATTAATATTTTAATGTAGAGTTGTCCAGCTTGCAGCCTGTGGGCCCCTTCAGCTGTCTTTTCCACTGCTGCAGGCAGGGGGAGGACTTGGTGGAGCATGCGTCGCTGATTGCAGCCCATATGCTGCTGGCGCTGCTGCTGTTGATGAAGCAAGTGCTGCTTCATCAACACACTCATATGTTGGAAGCATGAGGGCCAGAAAGCCAGCAACAGGTAGAATGGTCAATGTTAATAAGACCTTGGATGCCCAAAGGAGGGCTGTAAGGGCATTCATAGATGATGTGGTTGGCCATTTGAGCTTGAGCACCACAGCTGCAGCCAGCATCATTGGAGAGCCCCAAGTGTGTATGCTTGCTTCAAACTGTCCAACACTTGTTCTGAGATGGTTAAGAGCAGTCCAGGCCCTGCAGGGCAGCTGCCATCCTGCATGATGGCAGCTGGTGTTGGGGATGAAGTTCTTTTAGCTGCAGTTCTTGTGCAGCATATTTCCTGCTCCACTGATGGTGCAATCTGGGGTAGAGTAGCCTGCATGCAGCTGATACTGCCCGCAAGATAGGGAGTCATGAGCTGCCAGCATAGCCCACAAATTGGGGAAAGATCCTGGGGAGACCACATCTGCAGTGTGTGGCCCATGCAGTGTGTGGCTTCACATGTGGTCCCTGGCCTCATCTGAGTTGGACAGCCCTGAGTTAATGTAGACCTGTTACATTATAGAAGGAGGGTATGTATTGAGGAATTGGCGCAGTCACAGAAAATAAGACATTTAATATGGAAAGACTTCCATTAATAAAAGGAAAGAAAAGGAAATGTTCTAAGATGGTTGTGGCAGGGCACTGTTTGTGCCTAACAGTTTAAGGGCCTGAAGCCAGCAGCCGGCAGGTGCCTGATTAGGGCAGCCATTTTGGATCCAGGGCTGTCCATATAAACAGGGCATTTTGCTGCTGGAAGGTTAGGTAACAATATTGCCTGGTTGCAGGGTGCTGGTCTCAACTGGAGGTAAGGGCAGGAGCTGTAGAGGATGGTCAGGAGGCTCCTGGTCCTGGGTATGACATAAAACTGCACCCTGCTGAGAGTGGGTGGCCTGATGGGGCTCTCAGTGGCATAGGAGCCCCCAGGAAAAGCCAGGCCAGTTACCACCCTGGTGAAAGGGGGTCAGGGCACCTTAACCCCAGCTCCCACCTACGGGTGTGTCAGGACATTGGAGGTAGAGGGGGCCAGGCATGGCTACGGCCACCTGAGCCCACCCGAAGAGGGAAGCCCCGCGACCCTGAGCAGAGGGGGCATAGTGGAGCCCCGAGCAGAAGGGGTGTTGTGTAAGATCTCAGGGTAGCACCATGACCTGCTGCTCCAGGCGGGGAGTGAGAGTCCCCTGTGAGACCCTGGAGCACCAGTCATGGTGTGAGTCACCCCATCCCCACACATCCAGGAAGGGGGACCCAGAGAGAGTGTGGGGCTAGTGAGGCCGGAGGTAGAGTGCCCCCTTGATTGGTCAGTGCTGGGGCCAGGACCAAGAAGGTCAAAAGGGCCAGGTGCCCACCACGAGGGGCACCCAGAGTTGTGGGCCTAGGGCCCTGCCTGGCCTTGGAGGTGAGGCCAGAGCCTGTGTGTGGCCGAAGGTCCCAAGGGGGGACCACACCTGAGAGAGGTGCCAGCTACAGGGAGCTCGGCAGCCTGAATGAAGGCGGCGTAGGCCGCCTGAGTGGAGGGATCAAAGGAGGGTCCTGCCAGGAGGATTCTGGAGCCTAGTGTGGGGCTGGTGTGACTAATTACATCTGGATGCCATCTGCGAGGCTTGGGCCGCAGTGTAGGGGAGGTATGGAGCCGCGGACACCCCCCAAACATTGGGGGTACACCAATGGGCAGCCTCCCACCTTATTTAACAACTTTTCATTATTCCAACAAGGTGTGGTGGGCGAGACAGGTGGGCAGCATGCCCAGATGCAGGTCAGGGGCTAGCTGTGGCGTGCAGGGATCCCCACTTTGCCACAATGATATTTCTCCAGATGATGTATGAATTTTGCATTCATGACCTTATGAGATTAGAGTCATTCAGCGAGATGTTCCCTAATTTTATTGTTTTAAAGGCTCATTCTACTAATCAGAAAAACAAAACAAAGCTTGCATGAGCCTGAGAATGTGATTTAAAAGTACCACACACACACACACACACTCACCTGCACACACACACACACACACACACACAGTATGAAGGTGAAATGTAAAGTATTCTGAAGTGAATATTTTTATCTTCTAGTTTTTCTTTTGATAGCATACATTGAAAAAAAGGAAGAAAAAACAAACAATTGAGGCTAAGGTAGTATTCTGTTCATAAGACATGCCTTTTATTTGTTATGAAATTGTTTTAAAATCCAAGGGAATAAAATAGTAATGTTGGATAAAATCATAACCATGAGTAAACTAACATAAGAAAAGGATATTTTTTAATGAAGTTGGTATGCCTTTTATGTTCATAGTTAATGTACATGGTAACGTGGTTAGGGAAACACTTGAATTACTATAAAGGAATATAAATTAAAACATCTTTTCATTTGTATTTTGCTAGGTATGAACTAATGCAGAAAGGTGTTTTGGAACCCAAAGATATTGGATTTGTTCCAGACATATACACCCACAACCAGCATTTGGAAACTGAGAACAAGAGTTTGAAAAAGGACCTGGAAAACTATAAAATTGCTGCTAGGTATGTTTCATAATAGTCTTAAATTAATTTATCATTTTTATATAGTGGATGCTCAAAAAATTATACCAGTAAGTTAATGGGATTAATAATTTTTTTTTTTTATTTGTGATGGCCTCTGTATAGTCTTCCTTATGGCTATGATCCTGAATCAGAGCCAAGTGAAACTCAATTTTTTGTTAGCCCTATGTAGGGGAATAGATATTCTTTTCTTTCTGTTTATCTGGCTATCGCTAAGGGTACCTTTCTTTCGGTAGTCACAACAAAATACTCCCCATGATTATGAAAATATGGTATGTGGCAACAAAGGTAAAATTATAGTTATACTATTCCTCATTATGTATCTGGTTCTGCAGTCCTTTCAGATGTGTTGCATTGTCTTTTTGGCCTTAGTGTTTCGTGTAAGTTGAGTATAAATTGACACATTGTATAACATTGACTCCCCCCACTGGCCCGCGCGGTGCGTGTGGGGCCGGTGGCTCTGGCCGTCCGGTCCCCTTCGCTGCAGGGCGCGGCAGGGGTGTCTCGCAGGCAACCCGGGGTCCCTCGGGTTGCAGGGGGGGGAGTGTATAATAGAAAATTACATTGGTTTATGCGCAATGAAAACTGAGGCAGAAGTGTTTAGTTTTAGAAGGTTGTAGTGTTATACTTACTGACCAGGAATTCAAAGACAAGTCGCCTGTGGGGAGTATGAATCTTCCCCCCAAAAATAAAAACCCCACCAAATGCATTCAAGAGTGGGAATGCTGCGATCACGGACTGAAATGAGTGGTGACCAAGACGGTGCGGGTTGAGGCCTGTAACATTGACTGTATTAGCTCATGCAGCCACAATGATTTTACAAGATCCAAAGTAGCTCAATCTTTTTGTGATTGAAGGATCAAACATTTAGTCCATGTTATACAGAGATGTAGCAATGATCTAAACTTAGGGTTGCAATCTATTTAAAATCCTTTTTGATGCATCTGACTTTGTGTTTATTGATGATTTGCACTGAAATCTAATGGCTCATTTGAACTTTGACACTGCACATTTTTTTGTGATGCGCTATCCTGCACAGTGCTAATTTCATCTGTCTCATTTTTCTAAAGATTACTTGAGCAACCAATTCTTCTCTTCCAAAATTAAATAACTACAGAGATGTAAAGTAATAATCATTCTAAGTTTGGTGAATATTGCAGTTAATAATTGTAGTCAAACTACTGAACTATTTTCCAGTGTAAATTATTCATTACATTTTAACAGCATTAACACTTTGTTTAATTGGTTATAGACTAATATTTGAATGATTAATTTTAATAATCTGGAATTAAAATACATTAAATAACTGACATTGTACATGTATAAATATATTGGCTTCATAGGAAGACAGGCTTCAAGTAACATAATTCCTTTTGTGCAACTTCCTCAGACGTTGGGTTTAGATATATAGGCAATTCTGGCATGGCAGGTCACACAGTTTTGGGGATGGGGCATAAAGTTCCTCAGACCCCAGTTGCTCAAGTGCCTTAATGTCTGTCAGCAACTTAATCATTCTTTTTTCTTTCACTGATTATACAGTGAGCTTTATATACCTAGGCTTCAGTGGATATTACAAGACTCCATGACTCCTACATTAGGTAATATTTCATTCTTCAAACAGTTCCACCAGTGAAATAAATTTCAGAGTTCTCAGTAACCTTAATGTTAATGGGCAATCATTTCGGGTGAAGGGCTGCTTACTGCATTTTGGCAAGCCATCGAGTGCCACATGAGAGGCAGCCAGGGGCAGATAAATATTTTCTAAATGTTTAGGGGCCCCGCGGGCCAGATAGAATGGCCTGGTGGGCTGCATCTGGCTTGTGGGCCGCATTTTGCCTGCCCCTGCAGCTTAACGGTACAAGATCAGGCTCTTGCGAAACATCAGTTTCATTTATTTTGCTATGATTATTTTATATATTAATAGAGTGTTTTTACTTGAATAGTGAATGAAGCTAAACAGATCTAGTATAAAAATATGGATAAAAGAGCTTTTTTCTACCTTTTTAAGGTACAAACAGATCTTGTTTTATTTTTTTTCCCTTGGGTTCAGGGCACAGCTGATGCAATAGATTGGCAGGTACAAACATCACCCAGGGCCATTTTTCCCACAGGATCTGGCCTGTTGCTTCCAGGACTTCAAGGACCTCATCCTGTGAGACAGTGGCCCTATGTACTTGGCCCCATGGGGTTCCCCTGCTGTGCAGTGTGAAAGGTGGGCCCTAGATATCCCTGCAGAGGGTGCTTATGCTGCACAGCAAGGAAACTCCATAAGGTTCGAAGCTCTGCATTTGCAGATGTGTGTCCTAGGAATTCCTTTGAAGTGGTTCTCTTGCAGTGCAGCATGAAATGTGCACTCAGGATTCCTCTGCCCCAAGTGGCTGGAAAGCAGTGACAGCCCCAGGCTCCCAGGTTGTCCTGGTCTATTGGAATGAGTTGCATATAACAGAAATGGTTTCAGCATTTTCTTATGCATGAAGTATATATGTAGAAAGAAGATCCTGTGTGATAAGGTGTGACAAGCTATTACCAGCAATCATCACACAAACGTTTTTAGGTAAGGGGCAAGGGTGTCTCTTGGTTGACATTTTGTGCCTCCAAAAAAAAAAAAAAAAATCTGGTGTGACAAGGGCTATGGGCTATTTGGAAGCCTAAAGAGCTCCTCTTTCTAGAAATATTTATGATAAATCAATTAGTTTATTTTAGGGTTACTGTTAATAACTGTTTCTTATTCATGTGTTCATTATATACCTGGAGTGAAGGAAGTGTTTTAGCAGAAGACAGAATTAGTATCCAGCCAGTCAGAGATTTCCAGTGCTCAGAAAGTTTCACTGACAGAACAAAACAGAGTGTCTTGGAACATTAGGAGAATGCTGATTTGCCTGATTAAAAATAATGATTTCTGATAAAAGAAAGCTACATGTTTTGCTTGGTGCATCAGTCAGAAAGTTTACATTGTGAGATCCATCACTGTGAAATGTATTTGAAAATAGCTTTTAATTAAATTTGGCATTTCTGAACTTGCTGTTCTTGACAAGCATCTTGCTGAAAGGAGACATTATTTGTGACACCAACAGTATGAGGGCCCTATGTAAGAGATTGTAAACCAATTTCCTCTGGCTTTAATGTTGTTTAACAATCAGAAGAAGAGATTTACTGTCTAAAACCTAAATGTAATTGTGTTTCAGTTATTTTAATACAGTATTAAAATGATTATATGGCAACTGTAGGTACTTTCACTAAACTGCAAACTGTTACTCAGATATATTTCACCAAAGGTTTTCAGCATTTAAGGAGAAATTCTTGATCCTGTATGTGAATGATACATTTTTAGTCTTCTGCCCAGTATCTGAAAAGTTGGTATTGTATAACAAAACAACTATAAAAAAAAATATATAAAAAAGTCATATACACAAAAATGACCTTCCAAATTCAACAACACTCTTCCCAATATTAATTAGAATGTAATGCCATGAATTTTATGTACATCAGTTATTTTAGGAACTTTAAAAAATAAAAAATAAATATATTGTAATTTAAAAAAAAGAACATTTAAGATTATATTTCAGGGGTACTCAACTTTTTAAAGCTGTGGGTCTGGTATTTGTGACCCAGCTGCCCCATGGGCTGCTATTTGTTTTCTCCAAAAGGGGAGGGAGGTGGTTGCCAATGTTAGAGGGAGGAAGCAGGGAGAGAGAGGAGGGAGAAAGGAAGAGAGTAAGCAACCCTGCCAAAGGGGTGGGGAGAGGGAGAGTGCAGGAAGGACTGTGGGGATCAGTATCATGGCGAAGGGTAGGCAAGAAAACGAGCTGGCCAGATTCAGTCATTTTTTGGGCCAGATTCAACCTGTGAACCATACTTTGAGCACCACTGTCATACACTTAGTTTGAAAAATGTAACTGTATATTAATGAAGTAGTCATACATCTTAAATTCTGCTCTTTTATCCCTCGTATCCTGCAGATCATATCTTAGGTTTATATAAATGGGCACAGTTCCCATCTGGTTGATCAGTAAAAACGTTATTTTATGTTCTGCTGGAACACTTCTTGCAATATAGCAAGGATCTTCTTTCTACTTTTATAATGTATGCATAAAGAAATGCTGAAATAATTTCTGTTATTTGTAATTGATTTCAATAGACTGATTCAGATTTAAGCACATTGATTTAGATTGAAAAGAAATAGACATATGCAGAGGATCATATTCTCATGTCGGGTAAATCATCATAGCTGTCTGTTCTTTGACAGACAAGGTTTTTTGGGTAGATGTGATATCTTTTATTAGACCAATTAAATAGTTGGGAAAAATTGGGCCTAAAATCTTCTTTAGGCCCAGGGAGAGTCTGTTGGTGTTTGTGTGCTCTTCTGGGTAGAATAGAAGCCAATATGCAAAATGCAGGTCTCTGAAAATGCAAATGCATGGCAGTGAGGTCCTTAGGGAAGAGGAAACATTGATGACTCAGTAGATGGTCTAGCCTTTAGGGTAAATTAGTTTATACTTTTCGGTTGAATCATGTAACAGTTTCCAAGCCCTATAATACCTTGTCTGTCTTGTTGGTTTGGAATACCTCAAAGCCCATATAGTTGGCCTTTTGCCCATGTTTATGAAAAGTTAATACATGTTCAGTATTATTTGAGCATATAACATGTAGCCCATGCAGAATGATATATGTCACATAAAATGTCCATAACTATGAGAAACACCCAACCACAATGTATAGCAAAAGGTTGTAAAATCTATAGCACTGATATGTTGGGAATATATTAAACAGATAAGGTGCATCTACACATTGCCCTATGGCAACCTTTTTACTGTGTCATTTGGAAGTACTAAAGCACGGTGCAGTAACTGCTTGTACTGTGCCATGCGTGCAACCCTTTCTATAACCTCCATCAGGAGAGTAGAAGTTCAAAATCTCATGGTAGAATAGTCATGTTGACAGATTTTCAAGGAAAGGAGTCACTTTTGGCTTTGGATTAATATCATGCATAGTTTGTACTAACATATAGATTCATAGATGCTAGGGTCAGAAGGGACCTCAACAGATCATTGAGTCCGACCCACTGCCTAGGCAGGAAAGAGTCAGGAAAGAGAGCTGGAGTCAGATGACCCCAGCCAGATGCCTATCCAGCCTTCTCTTAAAGACCCCCAAGGTGGGGGAGAGCACCACCTCCCTTGGGAGCCCATTCCAAATTTTGGCCACTCTTACCGTGAAGAAGTTTTTTCTGATATCTAGCCTAAATCTGCTCTCTGTCAATTTGTGACCATTGTTCCTTGTTACCCCAAGAGGTGCCCTGGTGAACAGAGCATCTCTGATCCCTTGCTGTGTTCCCCTAATGAATTTGTAGGCAGCCACAAGATCACCTCTCGGCCTTCTCTTGCAGAAGCTGAAGAGGTCCAGGTCCCTCAGTCTCTCATAGAGCTTGTCCTGTAAGCCCCTAACCATACAAGTAGCCCTCCTCTGAACCCTCTCAAGTCTATCAACATCCTTCTTGAAGTATGGCGCCTAAAACTGGACACAGTACTCCAACTGTGGTCTGACTAATGCTGCATAGAGGGGAACGATCACCTGTTAATTTGTCCTGGGGTTTCAGCTTGGATACGTCATTGTAGGATTTTATGCAAAAGATTGTCCTTTTCAGAACTGTGAAGGCACAGCCTGTTCTTTCATTCTTTCAGCAGAAACCACAAAAACTTGCTTCTCACTTTCATGTGCTCAGGGAGAGCAGTGTCTGATAGTAAGGGTGGGGTGGGTTGGGAGGGCTGCAAGGAGAAGAAGTGGGACGGGAGTGGAGGGCAAAGGGGCCACCTGACACCCCCCCCCCCCAATTATTTTCCCTGTTGTAGCAGTGAGAGATGAACAAATTCCAGGCAAACGTTCAATACTTAGATTCTATACTTGGAAACTTATAACAAATTTATACACTTTCCACATATAGTATTTAATTATTGGGGAGTGGGGGAGGGGGTCATCTTATGTTCAGGGTCATCTTCTATTTGAATGTATGAGTGTATATCTTCTATTTGAGTGTATAGTTACCAATTTTTCCCTAATTCTCCCAAAAATTAAGGGAGAAAGTACATATGTCCAGTAGGTAGATGACAGAATTGGGTTGGGTGGAGTTGCAGACACTATGGAGGGTAAGATTAGGATCCAGAAAAAACTTTGATAACATATAGAAATAGTCTGAATTTAATCAAATTAAATTTATCAAGGACAAGTGCAACATCCTATTAATAGCTTGTGTAGATGAGCGTAGTTAAGCACTGAAACAGGAAACCTAGAGAGATTGTGGAATCTCAAATATTGGAAGTTTTTAGGAGTAATTCAGATGAACGCTTATCTAGGATGATTTAGACAGGAATGATCCTGCCTTGAGCAGGGGCTTTGGATTAGATGACTGCCTGAGGTTCTTAGTAGCCCTACTTTTCTTTGATTCTGTTTATAAGATATTTCTGTGATTGCAATATATATACAGCATATATATTGCAATCACAGAAATATCTTACAAACAGAATCAAAGAAAAGTATATATGTATGGGGGCACACTTTTACATTCACAGATCAAAAGATTACCTAAGGTTTTTGTGGTTTCTGCTGAAAGAATGAAAGAACAGGCTGTGCCTTCACAGTTCTGAAAAGGACAATCTTTTGCATAAAATCCTACAATGACATATCCAAGCTGAAACCCCAGGACAAATTTACAGGTGTCTCACAGTTCTCGGTTGCTTTTCTTAGAAAATTTCCAATTATGTTGTTTTCAAGTCAGTAGATGTTATCAATCCTTATGTTTACCAAATATTATGCCATCTCATTGGCCTCTGTATCTGGCATAGAATTTGGATAGTGCTCCATGCTCCTGTCTATCTTAAAACAGACTCCAAAACCTTACTGCCACAGGAGTACTGTTTGCTAATCACCCACAAGGTGAATACATATGAATGCAACAGCTCAAAAGAAAATGTTTACGTACATCTTGTGTAATTGTTGAATGCTTGAGTGTGTGTGCATACAACACAACACATGCGTGCACACACATGTGCACATACACACACATTTCTGCTACACATGCTCATGTCCAGTCATTCACAGTACAAATATACATGAATTTGAGTATGAAAGGAGTGAAGAAGAGGAGTAAAAAAGCACTGTCTTTCTTCATGCCATCAGCCAGAGGCATTAGGATATGCTGCCCCAGTGGGATCTATTACTATAAGTCACCAACTCAAGTTCAATAGGTATAAACACCTACAAGTACACAATACATGACCCAAGAAGTTGCAGAGGAAGTACAGTAACAGTTTCTTCCATGCTTACTTTTTATGCAACTAAGTGTAGGAGACTTTGCCAAAAAAGCTGGGCTTGAGTAGGTTTAAGTTTATACCAGTGTACTATAAACTATTCAGACCACATTTTTAGATTAACATAGTAATGGCTGATCATATAGTTAATGTAGGAAAGGTAGAACTTCCATACTTGCTAAAAGACAAGATATGTTTTGATTGGTTGAACATTATATAATTTCTATGAAGACTCATGTGAAGCCCCAGTCTTCAGAGGCAGGCTGTTCAACAGACCACCCCCACTATGTCACTGACTGATTGCTAGCAAGCCAGTTCTTTGTAACAGTTTTGTATCTCATAAAATTTGCCTGACTGTAACTCCTTGGCTGTGTCCATATGAGCAGGGGCCTGTGTTCGCAGCAGCATAAATAGTAGTGACACAAATTTGTGTCACTACTTTGTGCCTCACTGTATGCCTCTGCCCATATGCTTTGCAGTGTAATGCATTGTCTCGCTGCTCCATGTGCTGCAAGGGGGGCTGGCTGGGGCACAGGGTGCCTCAGTGTGCTGCTAGCTGGCTTGGGAGTGGCACATGGAGACGGGGAAGCAGGCATCCCAGGGCTGCCTTCTCCCCTGTCTCTACATGCCCCTGTGCTTGAGGTACCCTGTGTCCCAGTCATCTCATCTGTGGCTGGCTGGGGTGCAGTGTGCCTCAATGCAGGGGTTCCACATGCCTCAGTGTGGGGGCTCAACAGTGGAGCACCCACACTGAGGAGTGCTGAGACAGGAGAGCAGCCAGCTCAAGGCTGCCAGCTCCCCTATCTCAAGACATACTGCACCCCAGGCAGCTGGGGAGCGGCTGGCTGGGGCTCAGGGTGCCTCAGTGTAGGGGCCCTGCAGCATGCAGAGATGGGGGAGCAGGCAGGCCTAGGCTGTCTGCTTCCCTTTCTCTGCGTTTGTCCACATTCATGCTACTTTGGCATGCTTTGTACCATTTTTTTCTTCAAGGTTTTTTTTTTTTGTTTCCTTGTTTGTTTTTGCTATCAGGAAATCCCACTAGCAAATTTTGCCCTGGCGTGCAATTTAGCAGCACCGTGCACAGTTTAACATGCAATGCTAGGGGTAAAGAGGTATCACATGCCCGCATATGTGGATCTGGCCCTTATCTCTGAGACTAAGGTATGAAAGCAGAAAGGAATCTAAGTGACCAATACACATATGCCCCAGCAGAGGTTACAATGAAAAACTGCCAACTCAAGGTTTGTAGGTACACATATCTACAAGTTCACAACACACCCCCAAAAGCAAAAGTTACCAAAGAGGTTAGCAGCAGTTTCTTTCACATTTATTTTTTTATGCAGCAAAGCAAAGGAGGCTCTGCTAAAAATACAGAAAGAACGTGATTTCCATCGAATGCACCATAAACGAGTGGTTCAGGAGAAAAACAGGCTCATTAGCGATATTAAAAGGTAAGCAAACCTATCTTTCACTGTGTCATTTAATTAAAAGGTAACTAAGCTTGAATGTTACTTGAGAAAACTCAGCTATATTTTAAGTATGAAGTACATGGCCAAAAGTAGCTAAATTGAGTTAGCATTTTGGTAAGTGGCAGTTTTATCCACCCTGAAAACAGAGAAATGATACACTAGGCCTTTAAGCTTGATGTCTCCGATCTTTGAGAAATTAGGAGGAAACTTTCTACAGAGCAGAGAAAGGAGATGTAGGTACATAATATTTGGTACATAAAGCATCTAATGTTCCTTGACTGTCAATTTCTTTTTTTCATGGTTGTTGGTGAATCTCATTCATTCATTTCAACTTGAGTTAGGTATAACTAAATCTATCTTCTTTTATTTTATTGTCATTTAGTTCCCATCCTTTTTATTTGTTGAGCATGCTTTAAGCTAGTTTTCAGGATGTATTGATTCTGGGTTCCTGTTTATTTCTTTGAGCATTCTTGCCTTACAGGTCTGTTATTTTCGAGAGTAGTAGGTCACACACAAAAAAGAAATTCCTTGAAATTCATAATCTCTAGTTTTATTGTTGCCTTTTTTTTTAGTCTGACAGAACAGACTTGATTTTTCCTACCTTTTTGTAGTTGAGTTTGTTTTACAAAAAACAGGACAACACCTTGAAGTTATACAGCTTTTCTCATCAGAAGATCTCAGAATGTTTCCCAGAGGTAGGTATAATTATCCCCAACTTACTTTGATGAAGAGGAGACATGGAGTGGTTAGGTTGCTCACAAGTGCAAGGTAAAGGAATGTGGCAGTAGCAGATTTGGAAACTACATCCTTTGCTTTAACCTCTAGATAACAGTGCATCCTAAATAGAAGAAAATGTTTTTTTGAAGAAAGCTGTAAAAGGTACAAGATGAAAGAACATCCCATTAGCTATGCTTCCATAATTGCCAAAGTATTCCACCTTATTCCTTTCCTTTGCATTTCCTCTTCACAGTCTCAGTTATGGGTGTATCAGATGGGTGTGGCCACTCCTAGCAGGCCATGCCTATCTCTACTCATTTTTGAGGATTAAACTACAAAAAGGAGAATGAAGCTTTGGCTGCTTCAGTTCCTTCTGACTGCTAGCAGCAATGGATCAGGAAGTAGTCTGGATCTTGTGTCCAGATTCCTATTTATGCAGTATTTTTAAAAGTTTTAGAAATACAGAGTATTTATACATGCTTAAAGTAGTTTTAATTAGTTTATATTAGGGTTAAGGATTTTTGTAGTAGTAATGTTGGAACTTTGGTTCTTTTATATCCTGATGGCATAACTGAAGAATATTGGGTCATGTAAAGGAGGTTCAGTTTCTGTGGGTTGAATTGCTCTGTGTAAAAACATTCATACTTTTTCTTCCGGACCAAAAATAACAGCTCTGGGAAAAAGATAAGCCAACTTCAACCAGTGAGAAGTTGGTCGTGGGAGAATCTCTCCCAGGAAAATGCATGTTTGTATGTTTTCTCTCAGCTTAACACCTTTTGGGGATGAGGAAGAGTGGAGCTAGGGAAAAGGCTCTTGAGCCTTCCTGAGATTGGGATCACTTGGTCTGGAGAAGGCATAAGGGGCAGCTGCCTCTGCCTCTGCCCTTCCTATAGACCAGGATGGGAGGAGAGGACCCTGTTGGCTCCTCATATATCGGGGCTCCCAGTTTGATAAACAGGCAGGAGCTTTGCATCACTGCTCCCTCCATTGGGCACTGGAAGCTGAGCAGAGGTATGCCAGATGCATGCCCTTTTCTCACACCAGAGTTCCTGGAGTAAGAATCAGGTGGTTTTGCAGTATTGCTTTTCTCCCCTCCCCTCCTCTCCTCCTTGGAACTGGTCTGGGAGGTGAGAGAAGTAGCATCCATTGTTCCCTACTTCTCTGCAGTCTCTAATTTTAGGAAGAGGTGGAAGGCTTTGTCAGTCTGCCAGCAGTGATCTAAAAGCCAGCAGGGCTGGGAACCTGGCACAGGGAAAAGCTCCCCAAGCCTGGTCCCTGGCCCTGCAAGATTCTTCTGGCATTCACAGGGATGGGAACTAGGCCTGGGGAGGCTCTCCTTGGAATAAGTGGGCAAAGCACCCAACTGCTTCTCACAGTAAAGTGCCAGGTGTGTGGGGTAGGTGGGGCTTTGCCACGGGGTTCAGTGCCTGGGAGCTGGTGTGGTGGAAGACCATGGCTAATGGGGCTTAGCTCCCCCCAACTTTTTGCAGTGGCCAACAGCAGCAAAACCATGGCACTACCATCCCGCAGTGCCTGGTGCCGCTCAGCATGCAGCCGCTTCTCCGCTGCCATGTATAGCACCAGTGCGTACTGGCCTCTCAACAGCCTTGTGGGAGGGAGGGGCAGGGGCCAGGTGGGGCTCAGCCCCCCCAAATAATATTGTCCCCCACTGCTTATGAGGAGAAGGAGCACTGCCACCCCCTGCCTGCTTTTCACACCAGAGGTTCTGTGTGGCAGGGGGGTTCCCTTCTGCTTTGCTCTCTGAGACTGGGAATGAAACGGGAGCATCTGCTCACTGTTTCCTGCCTGTTCCCAAATCTGGGCCCTCTATCTGGGGAAGGGGAAGGGGCTAGGGGGAACTTGTCCCAGACTTCTCCCCTCCCAGACTGGTCCAAGAGGGAAAGA